AGGTTGGAAGAAGCTTCGCTCCGGGCATAACATGACGTGGAGCAGAGGTATGAAGTTAGCCTCAGCATCCGTTTCGGTTGGTGCAGCTCGCCTTCCAGGCTGGGGCCCAGGGGGTAAGAATTGTTGTTGGTTAGAGACGCTGAAAGATATGGCCCAGAATACAAGTCAGTGGCGCGAATGCTGTACCGTTTGCCTGTCGAAATCCCGTGCCCCGTAATAAAAAAAAGAATAACAAACAACACGGAAACACATCAAAAAGTGTACAGTGAAACACAATTTTTTTTATCCCAGTTTTCTTTCATTTTCCCGAGTTTTCATGTTTCACCTTCTTTCCACTTTATTATGTATCCCAATCCACCTGTCCCCTATTGTTGTTATTGTTATTATTGTTATGACGTTGGCATCATGCTTGCCCACAAGCCGGTGTTATATATATATATATATTCGACACAATAGCCTTGTTTGTATCACCGGATGACGTTTGGATAGACAACTCTTTCAGAGCCAGTCCATTGAAGAACCAATGCTGTGATTCAGTGATTTTGTAAGTGGGTTCTATGCTACTAACCGCAACAAAAGTGACTTGATAGTCTTTATATAATATTTCATCATAACAAGGTTATTGTGTCGAAAATATACTTCCTAGGTACAAGTATACGAATGAACTGACAAAAGATTACCGGATAGGCATGTCTGACGAGCGGCAAGAACCGCGAAACCGGTCGTGTGCTTCCAGGGAAATTTTGTCCAGCCATTCACATACTACTTATGATATATATATACCATATCTTCAAAAAGCCTCCTTCGCTTTATTCTGCCCTCCTCCTTCCCCCAAGAAAAGCTGTCGCGGAATTCGTCCCTTAAAGCAATTACCGGGAAAGTCCCCTCCGTTGCATTCTCTTGGCCAAAGTCCCCTTGCTAAAGTAGGAGAATGAAAAGCCCGGTTTAGGAACCACGGGCAGCTAGGTTATCCGACGGATAAGCAATACCCTGATTCTTGATCTTCCAAGAAAAGGTACATTAACTGGGTCTAGGACATCCCAATCCCGATAGTTAACGGTTCTACTGGACTCTAAGGCAAAGCTGGACCCGCTGAACGTCTAACCCACGTCTATGATCAGGTGCTGGCTCCTAACAGATTACGGTATTTACACCGCTTCGCTGCCGTGCAGATCAGAGTGTGGATGATCGAAGGTTATGTTTATAAATCCCTAGAAAAATCACCGGTTTTGGCTAGAGAATCCTGGTGGTAGTTTGATTGCGAACGAATCGCGGATTGATTTACTTGTCATACGGTTTGTTTTGTCGTGGGTTTTTATACGGCCTGGACTAATGACAAGTACGATATATAAGGAGCATCAACTAATCGAGTTAATGATCGGCGCCGGGAAGTTGAATCACATACAGATACCTCAAAACTAGTCCATGGACCGTTCCAGAAACACTGAACAAAGAAACTATTTGTTATAACCGTAAACCCCTTCTTTGTGAAGAATACATAAGTCACTGAACTGGAACGGGGTGGCTGTAATTGAATCAACAGGATTTATCGGGTGAACTGCACAGATCAATCAATAAGCATTAGGCCTATCAATACTTGCGAGGTCGATAACAAGATCGGATCAGTCACGTGACATCTGATTTCAGTGAACTGCCGCATGTTTGCGCTATCATAACACTACTTATGATCTCTTTCACGAAATCCAAACACAAGAAGACAACAACAAACCTCTAACCTTTTGGGATGGTCATAGAAGACAGCTATTCCTGGCCTTTATGAATTATCAATCCTGACTGTCAATAAGATATCATAAAAGAGTAACTTAATTATAATTAAATCAATGTCAACGAGCTCTAATTAAGGGACAAAGTTAATGTATGAAGAGTAAACAAACGGGCATAAAGAAAAAGTAAAAATTGCGAAAAAATACTTCATCTTACAGTGTGATTTTCATATTCTAATTAAATTATTTTACGAACAAAATCTTGTGTCTGATACACAACAACCTGATGATAGAAATCGGATCGTGATCGCAAGGATCAAGTATGGTGAATTGTGAAAAACAACAACTCACCCTGACATGATTGAGTGGTGCTTTGCATTCACTTTCTAAAGCTTTTTTTAATGCTTCTTTTTCCAAACACTTGCTTCGTTGCCTAAATTGCAAAAGAGATGGTAGTTTAACGATTATTACTCGGGAATCAGATTGTAGTCTTGTCATTGGGACTACAAACGACCAGAGTGCCGTTCGTGTATCAGCCTCGTGGACTAGTGTTCTGCCATTGTGAAAAGATGGGGGAAAAGCTAACGCATGTTAACATAATTAAAAATCCGATTGTGTGTATGTATGCACGCTTTTCCTAGTGCTAGTTTGTTGGTATGGTTCGTCTTGTTTCCATTCACAAATGATGGGATCTTTTGTAACTAGAAGGAGGCAGTGATAATCTGGTGGACGTGGGTTCGAATCCCACCACCACCGCCGCCTGACTGTCCCCATTCTCTCTGTGTGTTGTATGACAGCCCCGCTTGATTGGCCGCTTCCTTTTTTCCAGAAAACTGTATCAATCAATCTATTCAATAAAAGGAGGTAAAAAAGTGAAAACGGAAAAACATCGATTCTCAGCTTTAGCACAAAAACGATGAGGAGCACTTTATCTAACAGAAATGCGCCTAATTAGCAGATACTAGTGAGCGATGGCGCTTCCCGTATTGGGTTTATCAAAGTTTTCCGCATTTCCAATGACACGCACAAAAACGGCGGAAGCAGTCGAACAATAAGAATCATCTCTGAATTACTCCTAAAATATAAAATCAAAGATATAGTAACAAAAGGGACCCAAGAAGGAGGAGGAACAGGAAGAATCTCTTATGAAGTGACTTAACTCGTCAAACAGTCGAAAACAGTTTGTGCTTATTGAACAATCTTTTACGGAGCAGGGTAGTCTTCTCAGCAGACTTCAGATGGGCAACTTTATTGCCAGGAGAACTTCACTTTCGCTGGAAGCTATAACAGAAAATCTGTTTTACAAGACATCTGTGACAAATAGGACGGTTCTGCACAGCCCCAATGGAGATGATAAATGACGGTAAAGGACAGGTGCACGGCCTAGCTTAACCCAATGCTGGACCATATAGGGCTCTGGGAATGAAATATAATGAGCGTGACATTGTCAGGCAATTTTTATTCGAATAAGTGTTGCTGTGAGTGTTGATTAGCATTCCTATGCATGATAGAAATGGAAAACTGAAAA